ACTGGACAAATACCACATGTGAAGATGAAGGGATGTCATATTGTGATGGAAGTGTGAAATGTATGGTTGTACCAAAAGGGAAGGAATGGGGGGAAGTAGGAGGAGGGGTTTGCTTGAGAGAAGATGTAGAAATGGATACTATAGTTGAGCAGGCCAGAAGGGGCTACCTACAGTTCTCTGGCTGATGGATAAGGAACAGGAAACCATAAAAGGGGAAGGTTGGCATTGAAATGAGAGGCAAGTGCATCTATTAGAGGAGTATCAAGTTGGGAAAACATCCAATAGAATATCTAAAAGTGAAGGGACCATTCCATGGGTAGGATGAGAACATGACAGGCAATGAAGCCCAGCCAATTAGAATGGGCTCAATAAAGGAGGTCCAAAGTTTAAAAACAGAGAGTCCTAGAATTGGTTCTTTCTTGTAGGCTGATATAACACAATTGTGAAGTTGTCTGAGTGGGCCATAACTAATAAATCCACCACGATTTAAAAGGAATAGGAGTGTACTCATCAAACAATGAGCAGATTTCGGATGTTGATATGAAGAGAATGTTCCTCTAAAGTCCAAGAACCTGAAGAGAATCATTCATGGATGCCCCCACTAAGTGAGAGAAACATCTGTGAATAGGTGAAGGTCTGGCTTGGGAGGAGGTAAGAGAATATCAGAGGTGGTATTAGAGTGTTTGCCATCAAGCAAGATCCTCCAGAGAAGATGGAGATGAAAGAGGATCACGTGAGTAAAGTGGATCCCTGGATAGGTTCCATTTGTCACACAATGGCCAGTGTGTGTGGTGGGGGGGGGGGGTGCACAGGTAATTGAAATAAGGGGCTTCAGAGAAGCCATAATCCCCAAAAGAGATAGAAGCTCCCACATAGAAGGATAGACGTAGACTTTGGAGAGCAGATGCTCAAGGTCTAGCAAATGGAGAGGTGAAGGTTAGGTACAGCTGAGGTGAGAGTTGAAAAGGATACCCAGATGGGTGAAATATTGGGTTGGGTAAAGAAGGATATGGATATATTGATGAGACCCCTGATTGTGTGGCTTTGTGAAAAAGGAAGAAAGCATGATCTGAGGACTCCTCCTGTGAGTGGGAGAGAAAAAGTCAATCATCTATGTAAAAGTAGAACTGTAGTCCCAGACCATGCAGATGACAAGCAAAAACCATCACAATGTGACGTAAGGGGTTGACACTATCCTGAATGGTGTGGCATGGAATTGGATGACACAGTGAACAAATCTGAAGAAACTTTACAATGCCAAGACTATAAGAACATGGAAAAAGGCATCCAACACATCTACTTTGGTCATCAATAGGCTGGGTTGCAAGGACCATCAGAGAAAGAGAGAAATAATTCTCCATCTGAAAATGAGGAACAACCAAAAACAATTGATGGAGGATAGACTGATGATTGGGCACCAGTCCCTGGGGTTTTTTGGAGACAATGAAGAGGTGAGAGTAGTAACCCACAGAAGGATCTTCAAATCTCTCTATGGCCCATTCAAGATGTTGAAGATAAGAAAATCCTGAAGAGTAATGTTTGGCAACAGGTTGGGAGAGAAGAGGTAGGGAAGAGAAACTGTGAATAGGACTTGAAATGGGTCCATTAATGTACAAACTGAGACAGAGGAGCTCCCATAGGTGCTGAACAAACCACATGGTCACCAGCAGTTAGGTCAGTGGGTGAGATGTCAGACAAAAAAGGACAGTAGAAAGTGGAAGGTTGAGATACTGGGACAGATGGGATGGAGAAGGGGTTAGGGCAAGGGACAGGTGTGGAAGGAGAAAAAGGAAAATTGATGATGGACAGCTTTAGCACATGATTCAAGAGAATCAGAGACCACAACAGAGATTTCTTGTCAGTGAAAGGGAGCAAAACAAATATTTTAAAGAAAAAAGGGAAGGTAATCATAATTGGGAAAGACAGGTACCCCTTCTCAAGAAATCCCAACAACAAATGAATGAAGTGAGAAGCGAAAGGGCAGAAGAAGTGGAACAGGCAATGGAATAGAAGAGGAGCACTCTCGTATTTCCAGAAAATTCATCAGGGAAACAGTGAAGCTCTTCTCTTATAAGGTGATGAGAGAAGAGGTATCTAAGAAGGGTAGTTAAGAAGGCACAAAGTCGAGAAAATTGAACACTAGATAGGGGGACAGCTGACAAAAAATCTGCCCCCCAAACTAACAAAAGAGATTTCCAGAATTGGATTCAAGAATAAGAAAGGGAGAGTGAGTAGGAAATAGGAAACAGTCAGGAAGGAGGAATGAGGCATGAGGTTCCATGAATGAAGTTGATTGAGAAAGGAGTTGGCATGAATAGAAACATCAGGGAAGGGGAAAAACAAAGAAATTTTGAGGAGAGGATTATGTAAGCGAGAACAGGAAGTGTCATAGGTTATGGGGGACAGAGAAAGAATAGTACATAACTGGGTAATGAAGTTCTAGATATTCAAAGAAGATTTTAGTTGTTCTTCCTGGAGATGGAAAAAGCCATTCCTCAGCATCAGTATTTAAGGCAGGGGAAGGGAATTATATGGTAGGGACAGAAGTAGAGAGTCCGAGTGGCATCATGGACACCATCACATGTTGGACAATGGCTGTCATGTCTTCCACAGATAAAGGACTTCAAGAATTATTGGCTATTTGATCAGTTGAAATGATATTTTCACTCACATAATTTCAAGAAGACTTCACATTGAACTGTCAATTCATAATAATTATGTTTAAACACAATCAAAGTTATATTTAAACACATTCAAACTAAGTTGATACATCATCATGTAGTAGCACAAAGTTGCTTGAATGCAGATGAATTTAGTTGAAAATTTTCATAAGATCAGTAATATGCAAGTCTCTCAGGCAGATACACAAAACTTCAAGAGGAAAATAGCTATCGTTTTTGAATTTAGTAATATTAGTAAAAAATTATTCACACTTTTTGTTGTGATTTGACTGTTGTTTTATTTTCTTACATATGTACAGAACTAATATAATTGTTTAGTAATTCAACATTCTTAATACCTACTAATGCTTCTGAACCATCAAATGAAATTAAGATAGGGATTTCTTCAGTCATTAAAACAAAACAAAAAGATCAACTAATGTTTGGCTACAACATGGCTTGTAATGAGTACAATAAATTGTATGCTGAGTCAAAAAAATACTGTAACTTGAGAAGCAATATGCTCTAAAATGTTTGGAAAAAATTTATCCTTCTCAGTAAGATTATTAATATTTCTGTAGATTTTTCCAGTTAATCACTTCTTAACAACACACAGCAATAAAAATCAAAACACAACCTACAACTTCTGCAATCAAGTTTCACTTCAGTAACTAAAATGCCATGTTTCACATGTTGATTTGTGGTGCACAACACTAAATTCAAGTTTGTTGTATCCCTGAAAGTTCAATTCTGAAATATCATATAATGTGTTGATTTATTTCTACTACTCTTAATTGAGTAGTATTGGATTTATTTTGTTGATCACTAAAAGAAACATTAAAGTAATTGGATTGACAGACACCAAAGTTATTTTTAACATTCAATATTCAAAATAATCAAACAAATAACAAAACTTATAAAGAAATTCTAACTAATTATTCCATACAGCCATACAATCATCTACCTTGTTTTGTAAGGATAAAGAACATACTAATTATTTCTGTGACTCCATGAATTATGAGCATTACTGCTAGTACCAGCAGCCTTGGCTAGCTTAAAATCTTTCTGTACTTTATAGTAAGTCTCATAACTTTTTATCACTTTTTCTCTCATCAAAATCTTCCCCAAAATCTAGTTGATTTACACTTTGCTTTACCAAATTACCTTTGCAGTCAGGTTATATCATATGTAGAAATTCTTATAGTTGTCATTCTTTAAATCTTAACTCTTTCAACATTCTTAACAATATGTACCCAACTTTTAATTTCATAGGTCTCCAATTTTACTCTTGCTATGAACTACTCATTCTCTCTAGCACTACTACCAAGTATGTTAATCTTTTCTAGAAATTTAAAAAATTAATCATAACCTCTTTCCTCATTTTTGCCTAACTTTACTTACAGTTACGTTTCATTTCTTATACTTTTATTTCACTGTTAAATTGCAGTGTGCCAACACTGCAATTTTTTGTCTGCTAATTTTTTAACTAATAATTATAGTCAAGACAAGTATTAAATGTAGTAATTTTTTTCCATTTTACCTCCTTTTTTTGAAAAAAGGCTTTTTACTTAGTTAAAAAATTAAAAAAAAGTATTCTTCTCCACTATCCATTGACTTATCAACTCAAGGAGTCTTGGTACTGACAACAGTTCTACTTGATATTATCATTCCCATTACTAACAAAATTTATATTTGGGGTGAGTTAGTATGGTGCACTTTAAAAGAAACACAGATTAACTCTTCATATAAAGAGTAACATGTTAGTTAGCTTTCAATTCTGATAAGCCCATAGAAGTTAATTCATGTAAATCACATAATTTCTATGATACAACATCAACAGTATTTTCAATGTTAACCACAGACAATTCTTGCTAGCCACATATCCCAAATTTCATTGTAATTGTAAAACAGTATATTTTGAGACCTTTTATCCAGATCATAATTATAACCAAAGGAAATAAGGAAGCATAATACTAATGAAATTAAAAATTTAAACAAAACATTTAAACTTCTTCACTAAGTGGGTCCTAATGGCATTTATACTGAAACTTAAAATGTATAAAAAAAATTTTTAATCATAAAAATACCCTTTATGGTAAAATGATGAAAAAATTATTCACAGATATATTAGTATCTTAGCAAATTACAACATATTTTTTTAGAAAAATTGAAAGTTTTACCATTTTTATCAACTAGAATAATTGCAGCTTACATATTAGGTGGCAAATGATTTTATCACTAACAACAACAAAAAAAAACGTGTCACAGATGTAATTACTTAACACTAACCACAGGTTTTAACAAAAACTTTCAAAAACATAAATATCTTGATAGACTAACCTCTTTTAAGGGAACCTTAAATGGAATGAACCGAGTTCCAGTAATAATATTCCCAATTGCTGAATATGCTTCCCACCTATGAAATGTAAAATATCACAAGGTCAAAAAGTTTTTATTTCTTAAAACATGTCATCATAACTAGTTGCTTCTGTAGAAAGAACAAAATGAATCCTTTTTTAATGGAATTTTTCAGTCCTTTTTCACTTACCATATAGTAACACCAATTAATTTATGTGTGTTAATAATGTCATGGCAATGTACCTAATTTATTACTTGATATTATACAGGGGTCAATGAATATGGATGCCCACCATGGTATTGGTACAGTTGAGCCACCAAGATAAGCCCAAAAGAAGATGAGAGAAGAGGTGCACAGTTGAGGACCATGGATCCTGAGAAAGTTTCCACTGGTACCACAATTTCCAATGGAGGAGATGCATGTTTGTGCAGGCTAATGAAATGAGTGTTCGAGGGAATCTAGTCTTCAAAAGCAAAAGAACATCACATGAAGGGTGTAAAAGAGAAGCACAAGCCTTGGTGACAAGACATTCCATTGCTAATAAGCAAAGTGGTAAAGGCTGAGTTGAAAAACACATCCAGATGTAGCAAATATATGATGAGTGTGAGAAAAAGACTTGGAAGGCTTGAGAAGACAGCCCAGCAAAGCAGCATTCTGCAGAAGAATGGAGGTGTGAAAAAAGTGGCAAGGAGAAGCCAATAATTAATGTGATATGGAATCATACCTCCAATCCAGGAAAACATTGGGCAAATGCTCCAATGATTCAACTGAAAACCTTAAAAGATGCACTACCACAAAGAATAGCACGAACAAAAAGAAAAAAAAAACATCTGGAGGACAGGGTGATTGGAAACTAGTTAAGAGATGACAGGTCATTAACTGGACACCAGTGCCCAATCTTCTTGAGGACTAAAAAAAAATTACAGAAATAATTAGCAAGAAATATGACAGAGGAGGAAAGTAAACCAGAAAAAGAGGAAGGAGAAGAAAAATGGAGAGATAGGATGTGGGTGATGAACCCACGTGTTAGATGAAAGTGGAGACAATGTCAGCTGAAAAGAGACAAATGGGCTCCCACAGAACCAGACTTGACAGGATAGCCATTGATAAGATGAGTGATAGTTGGGAATTGGGAGGACAGACAGGAAGCTGGAATGAGAAAGAGAGATGTGGATTCTGTGGGCCTATGAATAGGAGCAGAATAGCAAGGTTGAGAAATACAAGAAATCAAAGTAGGCAATGAGTCAGGAGTACCCCCAAAGAATTCAAGGTAAAGAACTAGAGTCTGACAAAGATCATGGAGATAAGCATGATGGAGGCCTACATTAACTAGGAAAGCATTCCAATCCAACAAGTTCTAACAACAGAGGAACCAAATAAGGAGGGAGAGAGCAGAAGAAGGAGAAGTAAGAGCCAATGTGATGAAAAAAAATAGTATGAACCTCTAAAGAAATTCCCTCCAGAGCATGAAGAAGTGCCTCAGGCATAAAGATAAATGACAAGAGATAATGTACGAAGGTGATAAGAAAGAGATAAAGGTGCAAAAATTGGGCAACAGTAAGGGAAACTGAAGTTAAGTTGTTTGCTCCCCAAGCAGGTAAAAGAGATTCCAATGACTGGGACAAGAGGAACAGAAGTCAAGAAAGGTTGTAAGCCTAGACAAGTCAAATAGACAAGATGAATGAAGTGTGTTAGTAAGGGTGTGCAGTTGTTTGAGAATCAAAACTGCATTGTCAGGTGAAGGAAAGAAGACAAAGTAGGCTTGAGTATGGGTTTCATGTAGTAAAGCACAAGAGAATTCAAAAGACACAGAAGAATAAGAAAAAAAGAACATACCTGTAAAATCATGTCAAGGAAGCGATTAGAAGGGTGAGGTTTTCTTTCCTAGATAAACTATGTCTATAGCACACCATGGTGGAGGAAATAGTTAATCAAAATAATTATCATTATGGACATGTTCAACTTGGGGAGAAGCAAAATCAGCTAAATGGACAAAGTGTACATGAAGAAACCCACAATACATTGAACAATGGCTGTTACATCCTCCACAAACAATGAGCCACAGTATACACAGTTCCCATGTGAGGAACATTATCACTAACAAGGAAACACCATTATGCAAATCACTAAAATTAAACCAAATAAAAAAAAATAAACAAAATTTAATTCAGTTGGAAATATAAATCTCAAATAATCAACTTACAATTTTGAAACATGTCCATTATAGACAATGCTGAGGAAAATAATGAAACATACCACTTACATTGGTAAACAGACATGGAAGGAAAGCAAATGGAATGGGAATTTAGGGAAGCAACTTGCAAGGATCAGAAAAAAACCACATGTGAAGATGAAGCATTAAAAGGGCAGGATGAAGTGCACCCAGTTGAGGTTGTCAAAGAAGGTGTCAGTGAAAGTGGGTGCAGAAGTGGAAAGCACAGTTCAGCCAGCCAAAATGATGCCACCATGAGGACGTGACTTGGAGTGGCTTATATGACTGTGAGGAGATGAAGAATATAACTGATGGGTGGATATGCATAAAGTAATGGCCCCAATCCTGAATGAGAGCATAGACTGCTATAGTCAAGTTAAGAGCAATGGAAGGACAAAAATCTTGGAATCTTGGAATCCGGGTTGGTTACAAATGCATCCAGTTCCATATTACCACAATTTGCAAATAGTCAACCAAACACCCATGGGTCAAGGGACCACTTCATGGGGAGAATCTTGTTGGGGCACAATAACACGACCCGTGACCAGATTCAGGGTAACTAGTATATGACACGCCATCAAAAAAGTGTGATGGCTGTGGGCCCAACATATAGAAACAAATAAAACCTTGATTGAGTGCCCCCTTGCCAAATGATGTAGGAGACAACCAACAAGTTGTTGGAATGGATCATACCTGACTGGTTCCAGAGAGATGAAAGGAAATGAACCAAAGCCTGACAAACAGTGAGCAGGCCCGGCATGGCCTGGTAGTTAGGGTGCTCGACTCGCAGTCTGAGGGTCGTGGGCTCGAATCCCTGTCCCACCAAACATGCTCACCCTTTCAGCTGTGGGGGCATTATAATGTGATGGTCAATCCCACTATTCGTTGGTAAAAGAGTAGCCCAAGAGTTGGCGGTGGGTGGTGATGACTAGCTGCCTTCCGTCTAGTCTAACACTATTAAATTAAGGACGGCTAGCGCAGATAGCCTTCGTGTAACTTTGCACAAAATTAACAAAAAACAGTGAGCAGTTCCAAAAGATTGATATACAGAGATTGACTGTATGATAGACAAATTTTCCGATATCACCTACGTGTCCAGACATGCACGCCAACACAAAAGAGAAGCATCCATGAAGAGGTGCATCTCCAGACGTGAAGGGTGAAGAGAAACATCCACTGTAGTCTCTGTTCAATCACCAGGTAAAGTGAACATGAAGTGAAGGAGGGAGATAAACAAGACTATACAATGGATCACAAATAAGGTTTTACTGATCTTGTAAAGCCCACTGAAGAGGTTTCATGTGGGCCCAACCTAAGGGAATGAGAGCCTCTAAAGAAGTCCACATTCCCCAAACAGATAGAACCTCTTACATAGTATGATAAGGAGAGGAGGAAATGGTCCAGGATGAAAAAGGTATACAGTGGAGGAAGAGGAAGGACTTCTCCACCTTGACCAGCCAACCTACTCATGCAGCTTCTCAAAGAATAATCCGAGTGAGAAAGTAAAAGGTGGCATGTCAAGGAGCTAAAAGCAACCAGTCATCCATTTTATGGTGGAAATGAAGGCCCCTGGAATGGAGAAGACAGGTATAAGCCTTGAACACCCGACAAAAATTGTAGATAGCTGAAGCAGACCTTAACAGAAGAGCCCAGGACTGATAGATAAAACCCTGATGGACAAAAAAAAAAGAAAATGCTGGGATGCAGGGAAGATGGGAATGTGGAGGTAATGTTTTGAGACATTTACCTTCATCGTCCAAAGAAAAGGAGTGAAAACCAATTGCAGAGAGAGAAAGGACTTTGTGATGAATTGAGGAAGATTTTGAAAGTGGTTCAAAAAAGAATGGTAAGTTAATGAATACCAGTCTCCAGCCTTCTTGGGGACTATAAACAAACAGAAATAGAAACCTGGCTGAGAAGGACCCACTCATTCCATCACATCCAGTGAAGCAGATCTAGAACTTCCTCAGAAAGACACTGGCTGAAAATTGGATTCTGAGGAGGGGAGAAGGAAACAGGATGAGGGGACAAGGAAATAAAGAATGAGCACTTTGGAAAGAACCCTCAGAACCCAAGGATCCGTAGTGGAGAACTTCCACATGGTGGCAAAGTTCAAAAACCTGGCCCCCACAAGATCTGTACCTACCACATAGTCACTGGGACCACTGGGGAAATGAAGTCGATTAGTAAAAACTGATGGTTAACCTCAGAGACCCATGTAACAGGAACTGGTAAAGGAGAGGAAGGAGGAAGATGATACATGGGAACAAGGTCGGGAAGTAGTTGAGACAAATGAAAAGCCAATGAAGAAAGGGAGGTGTGAAAATGAGAAAGGAAGACCCCCAAAGACATCTTGCCATAAAAAATATGCACATTCCATAATGATGTTGGGGTACATGTACCCAGAACAAGAGGGTGTCCCAACCTAAAAGATCCCAACAACAGAGGGTCCATGTTTGAAGGGAAAGGGTGGAAGAGGACAATCATGCAAAAGTGGAAAACAACAGGGCACATAGTCTCCACTGAAAACCTTTCAAGGGAATGATGAAGGGCCTCAGACAGGGGGTAAATTAAGAAAAAACATAGGGGGAGGATAAAATCAGGCAGATACAGGAAATGTGATGTGAGGAAAAAGACACAAAACTATGGGAATCCGAACCCCACAGAGGAGAAGAGAATCCAACTGTAGAGTTCACAAAAGAAAACAGATCTATGGTAAGCCAAAGCATGGACTTTCATAGAATGTGGGGGCGAAGGCAAACTGACCCCCCCCCCCCCAAATGTAATTGGTCTACAAACCTATTGGCATGAACCTCAATATCTGTTAAGGCTGAAAACAAGATAC